ACTGTAGAAGTAATCAACCGACAAGTGATGCGCGCCGTGAAGGCGCTGCTCAGCGAAATGAAGCTGAACGCAGACGAATGGCCGCATGTGTTGCCCCTCGTTCAAGGCTCCCTTAACCATCAGCCGGCGGACTGGCTGGGAGGAATTGCGCCTGTGACAGCGTTTACCGGCCTACCAGCCAAGACCCCGCTGGTAGGATTTGTCCACCCGACGTCCAAGGAAGTTTACGTCGCGGACTGGCTTGGCGGCGCCCGTCAGAAACATGAGAAGGACGCACTGAGCTGTTGTGACAAATTAATAAAATGTCATTGTATTTTTGGCCTTGCATATGCGTTTGTGGAGTTACATACAAATATCAAGCTGTTTCGAATTGGTCTTTCATACTTTAATCAAGTCAAAATGAACCTAACAACTATTTTGGACCAGAGTAGTACTACGTAGTAGTATCCTTCGCGGTAGTACTGTAGTATTTACTCTGTCTCCAAGAGGTAACGAATCTCGTTGAATCATCAATCATTACGTCACTCTTGCCTGTCTCATCCAACAGATGGAGGTACATAGCCCGCTGTACTCCCCCGGATGGACGACCAAAGAATGGCATGTTGTAACGCGCCTGCTCAACCAGAGGCAGTGTGTAATCTTCGGTTTTTACTTCGCTCAACGCTTCATACCTCGCCTTCTACAATCTTCTTCGAAGTTCGGTCCTCGTCTTCGTACGCGGCCCTTGTTATCCGGATTCCCCAGGGGAGGGACGGATAAATCCTTGCGAATAATCGGGGATCGAACCCACGACCTTTGAGTTAAGAAACCGATGCTCTACCACATGAGCTTTTCCCACCACATGGGGTAAGGAATACGAGTGTGCAAAGTCAGCAGCGGTAGTCGCAGCGGTAGTCGCAGTTATGCTGTAGTAGTAGTAGTTGAGCACGAACCTATGAATCCTCACGTCTTGCAATGCACCACTGCATTCCTTTACCTTGTTCATCTTGAAAGTCATCCACAGTTTTGCCCTCCCACACTTCAAAGTGACCACAGTCGCCAAACAATATTTGTCTGGATAATGGGACATGCGGAAAGTATCAACTCAACGTAAATGACTGGTTCAAAGTACAATTATTTCAGCCAATTAGGTACCACTCCGTCCCAAATCACTGTGTACTACTAGTACTCTTCTAACGCTATAGGTAAGTAAGTACAAAACGTGACAGTTCGAATTGGCCAATGGGTAGTCTACAGATGGGCACCATACGACTGGAACTAATTCCTGACGAAGGCCAATCACAACTACGTCTACGAGTACTCTATTCCATACCATAACGACTCGGACGTGAAAACCATTCGGACAGAGCTTCGGACACAGAAATATTTGAGGAATTAATAAAATTGTTGCATACAAATTTCAAGCTTGCTTCACGTAATTAAAATAACGATGATAGGATAGGTACAGCGTAACTAGAGACTGCACATCAACGACAACCGCAAGTCCTTACTAGTACTAACGCAGTAACCAAGTGGTCATGCTCAAATAGGTAAAACGTTCATGATTACTACGTAGTACAAGCACTACTTCATCCTTCACGCTCGCAAGGGCTGCCAGTAAACTACACTGTACTGCAGGTTCATCAAATAACATATGACAATTATAAAAAGAGATATTATATTCCAAAATATTACTTGTATATAAACTATATTGAGACAAGAAAATTCAATTCTATTTTGACTGAAGTATTCCGAATGTCGCAAGTCAACTTCTGCTACGAAATTCGATTACATTCTTCACGTGCTTTCGTTGGGCGATTTTGATTTGGCTCTAATGGCCTGTGGGCCGAGAACTGGATAATCGAAGTTAGTGTGTGCGGTCGAATAAAATCGAAGTGCGTCGAACAATGCAAATTGAAGAATGAGAATTGAATCCATCGTAACACGGGTTAGGTTGAACAC